ACCCCTGTGCACTTTCTAGAAACCCTAGTGGTGTAGTGGTTAAGAGTTCAGCTGCTAACCAAAAGTTCAGGAGTTAGAATCCACCAGGCACTCCTTGGAAACCCTATAGGGCAGTTCTACTTTGTCCAGTAGGGTCGCTATGAGTTGGAATCGACTGGATGGCAATGGGTAAATGGGTGCAATTTCAGGAGCCCTGGTGGCACAGTAGTTAAGAACTTCAGCTGCTAATCAAAAGGTGGACAGTTTGATCCCACCAGCCACTCCTTGGAAAACCTACTCTGTCCTATAGGGTCATTATGAGTTGGAATCAACTCAGTGGCAACGAGTTTGGTTTTTGCTCTTGGCACACTTTCAATCCTTGTAGTTAAGACAGCACACCTAGCCAATCAGAGCCTTCCATTTTTCTGGGCACAGTGATTGCCTCAGGGACAGGCACCCACCTGTAGCAAAACCAGTGAGAACCAGCCCCTCTAGGGTTGCTATGCTGGCAGAATATAAGGCTGGAACCGCTGGCTACAATCAGCCTCCCTGAGGAAGAAGAGGAAGTGAAGGGGGGCTGAAAGATGGAGAGAGAGAATAGAGTCCTGGGGCCATTATGTGAGTCCCTGAATCCCGCTGTGTCAGCATTTCCTGAACTTCTAAGTCATATGAGCCAGTGAATGCCTTTTGTTTGCTTAGGCTCTTTTGCGTTTCTGTTGCTTGCAAGCTAGACAGTCAGGACCAAGTCTCCATCCCACCCTGTCATGGATTGAATTGTGTCCCCCCAAAATATCTGTTGGCTTGGCTGGGTCATGATTCCCAGTATTGTATAATCGTGTACCATTTTGTAACCTGATGTGATTTCCTTATGTGTTGTAAATTCAATCACTATGATCTAATAAGATGGATTAATGGCAGTTATACTGATGAGGTATACTAGACTGGATAGTGTCTTAAGCCAATCTCTTTTGAGACATAAAAGAGAGAAGCGAGCAGAGACACATGGGAACCTCATACCACCAAGAAAGCAGTGCCAGGAGCAGAGCGCATCCTTTGGACCTGAGGTTCCTGCACAGAGAAGCTCCCAGACCAAGGGAAGATTGATGACGCAGACCTTCCTCCAGAGCCGATGGAGAAAGTGTTCCCCTGGAGCTGACGTCCTGAATTTGGACTTGTAGCCTACTGGACTGTGAGAGAATAAACTTCTCTTTGTTAAAACCATTCACTTGTGGTGTTTCTGTTATAGCAGTACTGGATGACTAAGACACACCCTGTCCTTTAGCCTGGGGTCCCTGGCTCTGGATATTCCAATTCAGCACAGAGCCTCAGCCAGGAGCTCTGCACCCCCTCCCTGGCACAACCCAAAGTCTACAGCGTGGAAGGCACACTTTGATAAAGCCCTTAGCACAAGATCTTGCCCCTCCTCTAAAACAGGAGGCCTGAGGCCCAGAGAGGGGTAAGCATTTCCCCCAGACCACCTGACAAAGGATGGTCAAGTGGAGCCAAGGTCCCCTGACCCCCAGTCTGGTGTAATTCCCATTCCATGGGGCTGCTTCACCTCCTGGCCTCCTCTCCCTGCCCCTTCCCTGTAGCTTAACACTTCAGGAAGAAATGGGGTTTTCAAAACATGGAAATGAAAGGACTTGTCTTGGGGGAGTGGGGAGGGGGATGCACTGGCAGTTCACCAGCTCACTGGAGGTCACCAGGACAAAGTACAGGAGACCTCCTTGGGAACACAGCCCCATACCACCAGGCAGCAGGCTTGGGGGTCTCCAGACACTGTTTGCAGGGTTCTTCCCCACACTCCCAAGACCTTGCCTGTGGGAGAACCTCATCACCAAGAGTAAGTGACTTCTACCACCCACTGGGCTCCGCCACCAATTCAAGAACTGGGGTCTCATGGGGAAAGCAACCAAGACTGTCAAGAGGCTGCATCTGAGCCATGGGTGGAAGAAGCATCAGCAGCAGGTCAGATGGGATGGTGTAGGGGCCATGCCGGTCTTGGAGCCCTGAACTGTTGGACCTGAAAATGGTGACTTTGGCCTCAGTTTGCAAAGGACAAAGTTGAATCCTCCTGCAGGTGCTTGGCAAGAAGTTTCAAAAGCTTTGCTGCCTTAGTAATGAGCAAACTGTTGGTCCTCACGGAACATGTGGCAGAAGGCTCCTTGGCACTTGGGGCAACCTTTGCCACCACAGCCACAGCTTTAATGCTGCTCAGGAGGATGATGAATAAACAGAGTCTGGGCCACAGCACCCTGGGAGGGAGATTGGTCCCTATGGGGAGACTGTGGCAATGTCAGGGGCCTCTGCTGTGAGAGCCTGAAGAGTTCAGTGTTGTGGGAAGCCATTCTTCAGTGGCCAGATGGGCTCCAAGTAAAAGGTTCCTGAACTCCTGGGCTGGTCTGAATTCTGGGGTGTTCCTGGTGCTATAAAGGATGCTTCTTCCACATGGTGCCCAGAAAGTCACCCAGACACAGCAATAACACCAAGGGACAGTAGTGCAGGATACTCCCCTCGAGTCGATAAGGGGACTCAAAGTGGATCACCTTCAATATATGTAAGTAGCCACCATGCTAGTATAGAAAGTCTGAGCCTGTCGACATAGTTACACTATTCCACTGTAAAATGGAGTGTGTGTTTTCCTCCAGAGACTATTCGTCAGTTCTCTTGTAAACAGTAAACACAAAACACTAGACAGAATCCACAAGTGAGGGACTAGGGTTTGGTCAGCACCTCGCGCGCCTCCCTAGAACTCCATGGATGTTCTCCAAGGGGGGGCAATCGACTGTGCTCCTGCTGTAACCTCCGTGCCTAGCTGAGTGCCCAGCACACAGTAGGTACTCAATAGGCACCGGTTTAGTGAATGAATACAGCACTCGCCATGCAACCTCTCATCTAATCCTCACGGCCACCCCATGCAGTAGATACTACCATCATCCCCATTTTACAGACAGAACAATTGAGGCTCAGAGAGATATGGTACTTGCCCAAAGTAACAGCCGGGAAGGGGCACAGCAGACTCCCAGCTGGTTCCACTAACTCCAAGGCACATGGGCTGCCTGAGTGACTGAGGAGTGTGGTTTCTTTGGGTGAGGACCACGTGGAATGGAGCCCTAGATCCACATGGAGTGGAGCCCTGGATCGGGGCCCCAGAAGTATCCTTCCAAGGGGAGCAGCAGAAAAGAACCAGTCTGAACTGCCAAGGAGAGACACAGCGACCTTTAATCACACCGGACAAGCAGGCAGGGGTGGCTGGGCTGGGTATGGTTTTGTAGGACTGGCCTTCAAAGCACATGGTCAGGCCCTGCTCCCATCACCTGACCATGTAGCCATGGCTCCCTTGGGCTGTAAGCACCAGAGACAACTGCCGGGGCCACCTCTGCCCCGGAGTCTACGTAAGCACCAACAGGTGAAGCCACCTTCCTCTGGGAAGAGGTTGGACCACTGGGGTAGGGGACAGGAAAGCTAGAGGGCAGCCAGGCCACCCCAGCCCTCCTTCCAGGCTCCACCTGCCACCTTGGCCTGAGGGCTGGAATCACCCTGAGGCTGCCTGGAGGGACAGTGGGTTCTAGTCCCTTTCTCCGAGCAGGTTGAGGGTAAGAATCAGAAGGGCGGGGGGAGAATGTCCAATGACCCTTACTTCGCCTCGGCCTCTCCCTTGGCATCATGGCTCAGAGGAGGCCCCCTGACTGACCTGGAATGTCGCCTGCTTCAGCTCCCCAGACCTGCTGAGGGGACAAAGCCCTGTGCCTTCCTTGCTGCCCCCGGCTCACCAGGTTGGAGGAGGGCTCTGCCGGCCAGGAGGTGCCCATTAGGGCCTTTAGCACCTTGATAAAGCCTGGAGAGTCAGGGGTACAGAGCTGGTGAGGGGGCCAAGGAGGGTCAGTGAGCACCTGGGGACAGACATCTGTGTCTGTCAGTGGCTCTTTGTCTTGGAAGAACAGAGGTCAGACACCCTTGGCAAGAGGGGCTGAACGAGGTGGTAACAGAGCCCTAGAAGGGGCAGAGGAGGTGCCAGTAAGGAGGGTAGGGGTCCTCGCAGGTTACCATGCCAGCCGTTGGTGGGGGCCATGCAATGGGCTCCATTTCTGGGGGGTTACCTTTGCCCCAAAATGCCCCCAAGCCCCTGGGCTCCCACTGGGGTTTGCTTTAATTATGGGCATTAGTTAGGATGGGGAAGACTGGGATGGGGACACCCTCCCCACCTTGGGGGTCCCGTCCCGCCAGCCTTGGGGAGCGCTGGGTAAGGAGGGCCCCATGGTGCCTGAATGCCCAGGACACAGACCTGTGTGACAAGGGCCCCATGCATGTCTCTAGCTCTGGTTTCAGTCTTCTGTGCACCCAGCTGGACTGGGTGCTCACTGAGGGCAGTGCCCTCACCTCTGCTTTCCCAAGGCTGGCCAGAGTGAGCACACAATGAGCATTTGGTGAATGAATAAACGCATAGTGGCTATAAAGGTAGGCGTGAAGAGGAGGGTGAGAGAGAAAGAGGGCAGGGCAAGAGAGCAGAAGGGGGAGTCCTAGCGTGATGAGAGAATGTAAGGATGTGGGGAGAATTCTAGAATGTTTGGAGGATTCTAGCATGTTCCGAAAGTACTAGAATTTTGGGAAAGAACCTAGTTACTCAAGTGTGGTCCATAGACCAATAGCATCAGCATCACTTAGGAGCTTGTTAGAAATGCAGAATCCTGGGCCCTCTCCAGAGCTGCTGAATCAGAATCTGCATTTTAACAAGATCCCCAGGTGATTCACATGCACATTCAAGTTTAAAAAATCTTGGTCTAAAAGAAGTTCTAGAACATTTAGGTTACAAGGCTCCTCAAAACATGTCTAAGAGAGGAGAGAGGCAGAAACAGACTGGGAGGGATGGTGGAGGTAAGGAGAGGAGAGGTGCCCTCCCCACCTTTCAGGGCTGCAAACCGAGGCCCTGCAGGGGGATGGAACCTGCCCGAGGCCACCCAGCACCGAGCCGCCCAGCTGGGAGGCAAGTCCCCAGAAGGGACGGGTGACCTGGGAGGTGCTCAATCGTCCTCGGGCTTGATGAGATGGCCGCTGAAGGTGATGTAGGTGTCGACATCGTCACTATAGACAGCATTCTCGCGCTCACGCTTGAAGAGCCGCACCCAGACACGGTCGCCGGGCAGCAGGGCCAGCATCACGCTCTGGCTCTGCATGATGCTGCGGTCGCTGGGCTGCGCGTACAGGATGACGGCCGCCTCCTCGTTGTGCACCACGTGCACGTAGGTCTCCTTGAAGTTCCAACTATGCACATTGAGGCTGAAGAAGTAGAGGCCACGCAGCGGGGCGGCAAAGTGGCCGGCGGCCAGGTCGAAGTGCCCGTCTGGGTTCACAAAGACTGTGTCGAAGAGCAGTGGCTGGAAGCCCTCGCTGCTGTGCAGGGCCGTCTTTCGGCCCACTGAGAAGGCCGAGAAGCGTGTCTGGCATGGGCTGCCGGGGCTGCCCGCCTGCCCCTTGGTGCCCTTGGCGCCCTGTGGGCCACGGTCTCCCCGGGGACCCTCCTTGCCCAGCTTCCCTGGCATGCCCAGCAAGCCACGGTCCCCTTTGTCACCTGTGGAGGCAAGGAGGGGAGAAGTCAGGGCAGGCACCCAGGCCTGCACCAAGCTTATGCTCATTTGGGGATGATTCTGCCCCTGTTCCAGCCCAAAGAAGGAGCTGGCATTTATTGAGCACCTACTGCATGCCAGGCATAGCCTCCCTGAGTGCCCCTCTAAGAACTCCATGTCCACGTCCACTGCAGAGAGAACACTGAGGTTCAGAGAGGTTAAGTGACTTACCCAAGGCCACACAGCTCAGGAGCGGAAGAGGCAGAATTTCAAATATGGTCTGTTTCCAGATCTACCTTGTTTCCCTCCCTGGCAGTGAAGGTCTCACTGTGGTCTCTGAGGGTCCAGGCCCAGACCCCCACTTGGGGGTCACTGCACCCAGCCAGACTGGGGCCAAGAAGGGGGGCATGATGGGATGCCTTTTTGCGTTTCTGACCCAGAGAAAGAAGCAAGAAAAATACCCACCTGGAGGAAAAAACTGGGGTTAGGAGCCAAGTAGCCCTTGGTTAGCGTTCCTGCCCAACTGTGACCTGCGACATTTCATGGTTGGGCTCTGGGTTTTCTCGTCTATGAGGCACCAGAGGTCCCACTTGAAACCTCAGTCCATCACATCCCTCCTCTGGTCAAACTCTCCCCTGCTCCCCATCTCACTCAGAGTGGAGTCCATATGGGTGGCCAACAAGTCCCTGCACCATCTGGACCCGGTTTCTGACCTCACCCCCTCTCACTGCCCCCTGCTCCTTGAACACTCCAGGCCCACCCCTGCCCTGGGGTCTTTGCACTGCCTGTTCCCTCTGTGTGGAATGCTCTTCCAGCTGATAGCTGCATGGCTCACTGTCTCACCTCCTTAGAGACATTGCTCAGATCTCACCTTCTCTGTGAGACTACACCCTCCACGCCATTCAACATGCAGCCTTCCTGCCCCCAGACCTGCTCCCAATACCCTTCACCCTGCTCTACCTCTTCACTGGCCATAGAACCTATCACCACCTTACATCTGCTTCATGTTCTACACTTACTGCTTATTGTCTGCCGCTCCCCACCCCTCCACCAGACCAGCAGCTCTGCAGTGGGAGGATCTTTGTCTGGTCTGGCCACCGCTGTAGTCCAGTGTTTAGAATAGCTCTGGCATATGGTACGTACTAGTAACAGTTGCCACAGAGTTGACTTCGAGTCATGGTGACCCCATGTGTGTCAGAGTAGAACTGTGCTCCATAGGGTTTTCAGTGGCTGATTTTTCAGAAGTAGATTGCTAGGCCTTTCTTACAAGGTGCCTCTGAGTAGACTTAAAATTCCAATGTTTCGGTTAGCAGCCGAGCTCGTTAGTCATTTGCACCACCCAGGGTCTCCTCTGGGACATCGCATGTGCGCGATAAATGTGTGAATGAAATAAAGGGTCTGGGGCAGTTGTCTGTAGTGGTTTCTCCTGATCCCTCCACCTTCTTCCTACCCCGGGCCCAGGAAGAACCCCCCATGCACTCCCTGCCTGCTACCTGGCAAGTCCGGCCCAGGCCCAGGCTGAGCCACGTATGGGCACTCACCCTTCAGGATGGTGATGTTAATATAGGGCCTGACCTCAGGCAGGACATATGGGAGGGCGGATGGAGAGGCTGCTGGCACACCTGCAGCATCAGCAGGGGCTAGGGGGTCCGTGGAGTCACAGCACCGTCGGCAACCCCCAGGGGGGTTGGAGGTCACAGATTCTCCAAAGGTGGACTCCTCAGTGGGGACCCCAAGCACCAAGAGAGGGAGCAGGAGCACTGCCCAGCAGGGACCCAGGGCGACTGTCCCCATGGTGACCTGGAACAGGAAACGAGGAACAGAACACTAGATATAAATTAACGTCTATGATGTGCCAATGCTTAGCGTGAATGTGACCACCTACGCTAAGTGCACTCCTGATAAAGCTCAGTGAGCTACTGACTCCACTGAACAGATGAGAAGACTGAGCCCTACACAGGCAAGCCAGTTCCCAAGGTCACAATAGGACTGGTTCTCCCGGCACCTGGTCCATGGAGGCTCCTCCATACGTGGGTCTAGGAAGGAGGAGGGAGCCACTCTGAAGAGAACCACAGCCAAGAGCAGATGAGGGTCCCAGGTGACCTTTGCCGGGGCAGGCAAGGTAGAGGACCTGCTGCCCATATGTCATAAGCAATGAGGCTGTGAAATGCTCCTCCCCACCGTCCGCCTCCCTCGGGCTTCTTTTCTTGCCATCAACTTTGCCATCTCCAGCAAGCACATGCTACTGGTACAGCATGAGGCAGGTTAGTGGACACTTGGGACAAACACCAAGGACTCTGCAGGCTTGTTCTCCAGGAGAAGGGACACATGGCCAAGCCCATGCTCGGACACACTGTATTCCTGACACAGGAGATAGGAAATTTAATTTATTCTAGTAGAAGGAGAAGGTACACAGGGTCAGGGTGTGACGATGATGCTGTACTGTCACTGAGAAGTCAGGAGCAGGTATATTGATTCGTGGACTGCAGGCCACTGGGGGCCTATACAGTGCACATTTGTCCTCTGGGTGGACACATTAGAAGAGAAAGAAAAGTCCCCTCTGGAGGAAAGCAATGCTGAGGGTGGGCAGCTTGGCAAGGGCTGGCGTGAACCCACCGCACCCCCGCAGCACTTTCGTGCAGTGAACCACCTGCACAGCCGAACCTCACACAGAATTAACACAAGGTGAATTCATTGCGAAGTGGTTGTGTCAATCACTGCAGACCCGTCAATCAGTTGTCCAGTGGGAAATTGGAATTAAGGGCTAGGATTAAGAGGTCTGGAAAATTCAAAAAGATCAGAGAAGTCCGAGGGTTTGTAAGGATCTGTGTTTGTCTTTGGCCGGGAGGGGATCCAGAGTGCCAGGAGAGGGGCAGGAAGTAGCCTAGGCACCAGCCACTGGCAACAGGCCAGGGCTGGGTGGGCAGGAAGCCGGCGAGGAGCCTTTGAGGTGGTAGCAGTCTTTGGGGGCTGGGGCTGAGTTATCGCAGGATCAGAAACTCAGCTTTTGAAACCAGACTGGTTTTTACACTTCTAGCATTTCTTTGTTTATTTCCTTTTTGTTCCCTTTAACATTTAGTGCAATTCAAAAATATTTTTCTGTGGTTAATGTGTGTAGAGAAGGTAAAATTATTATTTTTTTTTAAACGCCAACTTATCTCAGCTGGATGCAGCTGAGCACTGGAGTGGGAGCTAGGTTTTGAAGGTACAGAAGTCTCCTCCCCTCCATCCCCTCCCCCCACCCCAGGCTTGGTGGTAGCAGCAGGAGAAGGAGTGGGGGATAGACAGTCTCTGGATCCACCACCCCCTTCCTAGAGGTGACCCTTCCCAAGCTCCTCTCTGCCCACCGTAGGAGGGTTTACTGGTCTTGTTCAATAAGGAAGGTCAAACCCTCAAATCTCAGCATCCTCCCTGTCCGTTATTACCCCCCTCATCTTTTATTCTGCAGACTTGGCATCTACAAACAGGTTTCTGAGAACAGCAAAATCCCCTTCTTTTTCCTGGTCATAGATGTGACCTCATGGGAAAAGCTTATGCCTGTGATTCCAGAGCAGTTTACAAGCTGAGTGGCCTAGGGCTAGTGGCTTCACCTCTCTGGCCTTCCTGCTCCTTGACACTTACAAGGAAATGAAGGCAATGCCTCCCTTCCTCTGTCCCAGGTTATTTAGGAGGATTTACACGAAGAGAGAAAGCATCTGGCCTGTAAAAGACTCAATGAAAATTTGATTTTTCCTCTGCCCCACACAGACCTCTTCCCCCACCTGCCCTCCATGGGAAGCAGCAGAACTTACCCCAGAGGACTGACACTGTTTGGGAACACCTCTGTCTCCTGCTGGGTCCAGGCAGATGGGAGTCAAAAGCTCCAAGACCCAGAACGGGGACCCAGGGAGTAGGAAGCAAGGCGGCCAGGACCAGCCTTTTAACAACAGTTACAACAACTACAGCTACCATTACTGACTGGCCCCCAGGTGAACGACCAGACAGGGACCAAGTGTGGGCAGCATGCCATTGGGGTGACTCTCGGGGTTCCCCCTGCCTCCACTTGGGAGCTGGAATCTCTGTGGGGAGGGTGGGCAGGGCGACCCCCCCCCATCCAGGTAGGCCCAGCTGAAGTGAGTTTAAATGGGGCCAGGCGGGATGGGCACAAGCCATGAGGGGCCCTGAGCCAGAACTCTGAAGGGGGTGGGGAGGCAAGGGCCTACCTAGAGGGGCTGGTCCAGGGTCAGGGGGAGACAGCAGGCCATAGGCAGGAGGGAGCAGAGGCCTCCCAGGCTGTGCTGACCCCAGCCCTCCTTGGCCCTGCAGGGCGCCCATCACTCACCCAGTGTCCTGTGGCCTGCACAGCAGCTCATGGGTCCGGGACCTCCCGGCTGTCTCTTGCTCCTTGGCCCATGTCTGCCTTAAGGAGGGAGGGCGGGAGGGTGGAGGGAGGGCGGAGGGAGCCTTGAGCTGGCTTCCCAAGTCCCCTCCTCCCTCTTCGCTGGGCTCTGGAGAAGAGATGGAGGAGCCCAGGATTTCCTTGTTTAACTCTTTGGTGGCCGGATGGGGTCTTGTTTGATTCAAAGGCCTAATAAAGTCAGCGAGCGGGTTGTCTGAGGTCTGAGGCCCCTTAGGTGAGGCCCCACGGAGCGGGGGGAGAGTGGGCAGGAGCCCCCAAAGTTGCTCAGCAAGGGGGAAGCAACACAACCTGGGACGTCCACTCTTCCTGGGGTCCTGCAGCCTGAGCTAACGGGCTCTTTCTGAGTCACCAATGCAGGGTGGGTGGTGGAGAGGGTACAGACATGGGGTCCACAGCCTCAGGTTCACATCCCCGCCTGCTACCCACAGCAAGTGACTTAGGCAAGTCACTTGGCCTCTCAGACCCTCGGTGTCTGTAGAACTCCAGGCCAGTCCCCGTCAGTACCAGGTGCACTGAGTAAATGGGCAGGTCTGACCTCCTCAGGTATCTGAGGGTGGTGCTAGGGCACCTCCTCACCCCTAAACCAAGAAAACCCAAACCAGTTGCCATGGAGTCGAGTTCGACTCATGGCGACCCCACATGTGTCAGAGTAGAACTGCACTCCATAGAGTTTTCACGGCTATGACCTTTCAGAGGCAGACTGCCAGGCCTCTCTTCTGAGGCGCCTCTGAGCGTGTTCAAACCGCCTGTCTTTTTGTTAGTAACCAAGTACTTAGCCATTTGTAGCACCAGGGACTCCCCATCCCCAGTACACACCAAAGTCTTCCTCCTCTACCCGAGATTCTACTATTATTGATTCATGCTCCTGGTCTTCTCGAGCCACACCCAAATTCATAGGGGAGAAGCCTTGAGCCCCTGATCTGGGCATGGTCCTGCCTCAGTTTCCGTCTGGTTAGGCTGGGAGAGGCTTTACAAAGGCCACAGCCCTGGTTCTCTGCCATATGACCCGGCTTCCTGGAGTCAGAGGCCCCTGAGTAAGACTGTCTTCAGTGTCCCTCACCCTCATCCACTCCTTTATTCTGTGTTTGTTGAGTACTTACTGCCTGGAGGAGGCCACAGCTCTCTGGTAGCTTTTGGTACTCAAAGAGTGTTCACATTCAGTATTTTGGCTACCCCTCCCCCAGCCTTGGGAAAGGGAACTAGAGTGGGAAGCTGAGGGGACTTGTCCAAGGTCACACAGCCAGTGAGGGAGCTCACAGCCCACAGAGTGGACGTGCTTCCTGTCCCACAGGGTTCCCACAATGGCACAACCGGATGTGGGTGTGGGGCCAAGGCTGCAGTTCAGGGTTCTGTCCCTAGGAAGAGGGAGGCGGTGACATCATTGCCCTCGGGAGCAAGGGAATGCAGAGACCTGAGGACGTTGTGTTAAGTCCGGAGCCTTGGGCTCAACCCCAGCCCTTACTCACATCTGGGCACACTGTGGAGGACGGAACAGCCCCTAGCCTGTGTGTCCTTGGCCTGGCCTTGTCTCTGGGCCTCAGTTGTCGTGGTTGCTTTGGGGATAATCAAAGAGCAGGACATAAGGCCTGGAAGGGCTCTGAGAGATGATCTAATCCGATTCCCTAATGTAACCAACCAGGACACTATAGCCCCAGGAGTTCAAATCTTTGGTTCAAGGTCACAGAGTAGACTGGAGTCCAAACTGGGGTGAATGCTGGGCTCTCCCGACTTCCAGCCTTGTGCTCTTGTTCCCCCCAAGCCCACTTGGAGCTGCCCTCCCCTGGCCTGTTTAGAGGCTTGGGGGACCAAAGGAAAGCAGGCCAAAGGACTCTGGCCACTAGGAACTCTGCAGGCCTACACTGGCCATGCCCTCTTTGTGGCCTCACCCCAGGCAGTGTTCCCAGGGCACTGAGCCAGGGCTGCAGAGGGAGGGAGCCAAGGGGGGCCATCCTCCATGCTGCCACCACAGAGGGGAAGGGCTGAGTCAGCAGCACTGAGGGGGCACTTCCACAAGGCAGGCTCCTTGCTGCCTCTGAGCCCTCTGGATTAGAGAGTCTGAATGTTTGAGGAAGATTCCATGGAAGGGGGTGGGGAGGGAGAGAGATGGATGGTGGATGGGGAGAAGCAGGCTGGGGACACAGGCGACACAGGAGTGGTTTGTGGAGCACTGGTTGTGTGCTCAGCACGGTACACAAATGGCCACACTCAATAGCCCCTCTCGGGGGCAGGCTGCTACCCCACTTTACAGATGAGGAGGCTGAGGTCTCAAGAGATGTGTGACTTGCCCAGGTCCTAGGACCAGCCACACCACTGCCCCAGAGAAGGGCCCCTTGTCCCACGTGGTTCAGGGCAGCTGGCTGGGGCAGGGCAGTCAAAAGAGCAAGACTCCAGAATA